AGCTATCTCAGCCGACAGGCTGCTTGTTTGGACATGGTATATATCAAATATATCATATCCTAGATGGTATCAAGCATTATAAAGTTATTGTGATAATCACTATTTTTTTTTCACAGGACTTGTGTGAAAGACATGAAAAAGGTGTGTTAAAAGATCACCAGACTGCCTTAGCGAGGATAGGTAATATGAAAAAGAAAAAGATGACTGCAACCATAAAAGGACAGGAACAGGCCGGTACTGTGGAACAGTTGGAGTCCAGAATTATTGAGGTAATTGTTCTGTGTGTCTCATAGTCGACAAACTGGTGTTTCTTAGTAGCTGATCAGTTTACTCCAGCCAGCCAGTCAGAATGATACTTACTGCATGCTCATTGATAGATCAATCCACTGTTTTCTCTGAATGCAAATCAACAATGTGTACTTTCAGATGTTATCCACAATCAATTGATCAGCCGATTTCACTTTTAATTTGATCTTTTTCTCACACAGCAAGAGAGTGAGATCATGAACATGGAGAACAGGAATTACTTTTCATTACATTGTTTACAAATGGAAACGCAGTTAATACATGCCAACGTGGAGGTCATTGCTGAAATATTTCAATTATTGGTTCATATTGAAGTAAAAGGATCACGAGAAGTGAGTAAAAATGTTCCTACATCCCTTCTGTTTGTTCTTAAAATATGCCTGACTTTCAGACATCAGATTTCCATGCTTATGAAAGCCAGCCACCATTGCAGGTAGAACAGATTGTTATTACCTTAAGGCTTCCAGCAAGTTTGCTTCGCAACAGGAGGTTGGTAGTTGAATCCTCCAGGTTTTATTTTATAGAAAAAAAAACTGCTTTATGACACCCCCCCCCCCCAAGATGGAATTAAGTGCCACAGATCGATTGTTAATTTCCTTATGCAAATCAGCACAAAACTGGCTTGTGATTGGCTGAGGCTGCCAAGCCCACTTTAGCCTCAAACATGATTGGCTCTGGTAGGAACGCCCACAATTGACCTTTCGAGGAGGCAGGCAGCGGATTAATTTCTCTGCATTTAAAACATGCTAATAATTAACATAGCCAAAATAGGCATCTGTATGACATTCTGTACCATTAGTTAGCATAACAGTGATATTTCTAGCGGCTAAAATTTTAACTTAATAATTTATATTGTTTTTTTTCCCTAATTTCTACTTCATAGATCAATTCATTATGGGAAGATCTTCAACCTAAAGTCAACAACCTTATACCACGGGATGTCAGTAACGCCACTTCTAACCCCGGTAGTCCCGTCACGTCACCTCTCGCATCGCCAACATCAGAACGCGTACTCTCCTTTCCTTAGAACACAGGAATGGTATCCATGTGCAATTTGTATGATAGTTACAGATCAACTTTTAAAGTCACTAGCGAAATATGTTTATTTTAAAAAGTGAAGGAAGAGAGGTTAATTAGAGTGCAGGGGGAAAATTTTTCTTTAAACATCTGGGAAGACATTTTATTTAAATATCTTATTTTATGTTTCTTATATTTGCAATGCAGCTGGAGTACGCTTAACTTTTCACAGCCTTATTTACTCTATTGAAAGTATACAATGCTATTACGTAATAGGTGAGCATAACCTGTAGGTGTAGGTTTGTACACTAGTAAGACAGCTGAACTTATCTCAGGAGGTACACTGCTATTAGAGACAATTTTGTCCTGCCCTTTTAGATGAAGTGTAGTGTGCATACTGTTGAAAAATAATAATTTATTTTTTAAGACTGATTATTAAAACGAGATGTTTTCAGATAAAACAGATTGTTAAGCAGGATGGCGGTTGTCACGCAACACGTTGTAGACACATTTGATCGTCTCAGGTCACATTACGATATTCCTTGTTTTTAATTTGTTTTTGCGGCTTCTGTATGTGCAAAATACGTTCTTTTTGTTTATTCGTGCATGCACCGCCTGATGATAGACAACTTAATTGACAGATACATTACGTCGTCATGATTGATGCATCCAGTCATATGTTAGCATGAGAATATGATTTTTCTCAAATATTTTGTTTCCAGAGCTCAACAAAAACGCATTATTCTGCTGACCTCTGACACTGTAAATCATAAATATACTCTCAATCCTACTGGATTCTCATTGACTAAATATTCTTTTATTGAGGCTGCAAAAATACACTTTCACTGAGACAAGAATAATGAATGTATTCAATGAAATTACCAGGTTGCAACCTAACTGGTTTCTGATGTGAATAAATTCTTGATGCAAATGGTGGATGATTAAATTAGACCATGCATGTATATATAGTTTTACCGATGTTAATAGAATGGAAAATATAAATAATACGCAAAACTAACAACATTTACAATCACTGTACTGAGGTAGCGGATAATGAAGGTTTTTTTGTGCCATCTGAGACTGGTCAGTGTTTGAACAAAATAATGTTGAAATGGCAACATGAATGAATTACCCCCTCTGGTGGTCATACTGAGAAGGTGTAGTGATCAAAAGTGTTGCTACCCATGAAGTGTGCTGGTAATGGGATTTAATATTAAAGGCTCGCATGTTTCCATGAAGATCACCTTGATGGATAATTTTTTTTTTTTTTTGAAATTTGTACATCCATTCATATTAATTTTGCCGTGAAAATAAAAATTGTACATTACAACTGATGCGTTTTTTGGAATAAATTATAGAAGGGTACCGGGGTACTATTCATGATAATATTTATTCTTCGCATCTTGCATTAGTTTCATGTTGGTTGCATATACATCAAAATACATGTTAAATGTTTTAGCCTGGTAATTGAAGGCTGTAAAACAATTATTTATTCAATCCAAGATGGTTGATTGGTAGCCATTTTTGTGTGTACATTTTAGATTATACGTCCATGACATTTGAATCAAAGATGGTTGACTGGCAACCATCTTGCTTTTTGACCATACTACTACATCTCCATGGCTCAGGGACCTTTTTCACATCAGTCTGTTCCGTAATCAGATCACCGACTGATGATTGGTTTTATGTTTGAATCCAAAATGACCAATTGGCAACAGCCTTGTTAGAATACATGTCTGACAATTAGTTTCTCTACTGAATGAGCCAAGCAGGTGGTTTACTATATGTACAACATGAAACAGTTGCCATTTCTGCAGGTCATTCTATACAAAATGAGTTGAATAACACGCATGCACTGACAATATACAACCTAGGGATGGAAACTACAAAAAAACTTTGTTAAAGTTCGGAAACTCAGATGCTAATGTTTACGAGAACCTTGACCCCCAAAACAGGCTGTTAACTACCATATGTATGGTATCTTCGTAACTGTACTTTCAGTTTTTAGCTCCGCTGTCGACCGGAGCTTATATGAGTGATTGTCCATCTGCGTTGTCAGTGTCAATGTTTTACTTCTTGAAAACTACAAGCCTGAATGTTTTGATACTTGGTGTATATGTACCTTGGGTATCCCTCTCCTAGATGTGTTCATTTGGTGAAAATTTTACTTTTTCGACTTCTTGAAAACTGCAAACCTGAATGCTTTGATCTTTGGGCAGATATCTTCAATTCTCTAATTTTGGGGAAATATTTGTCGTTTTTGGTATATTTTCGACTTTTTGATATTACATATACTACACTACATTACAGGTACTACATGTGGACCTCTCTCAGATTTGTTCAATTATCTAATTTTAATGAATATTTTTGTTGAAAACAGCAAGTCCGATTGCTTTGATACTATACATATTGTTTATTTTCTAATGATATCTTCAGTTCTTTAATTGAAATGTGCATTGCTAACAGCAGAGCTATCTCAGCCGACAGGCTGCTTGTTTGAAATGTCACACAATACGAGTCTTTGCAGTTAGTGCGTCTGTATGTTCCAATTGATATTTAAAGAACCACCTACTGTATTTCAATGAACTTGGTACATAGATGCTCTGGACTAATGTGCACGATAATTCACAAATTTTTAGCTGTTCCTCTGATATCTAAATTACTCAATGGATTTTGACGAAACTTGGTACACAGATGCCCTGGAACAATGCACAGGTTGAAATCTATGCATAGTAATTGCTTAATTTGCCTAATTACCGAATTTTCTACTTATATCTAAAAAAAAAAATTACATTTCAATAAGACTTGTATATGAAATGTATGGGGAACAATGCTAAAGACCTGATCAGTTTTGAATTGAAATTAGCACATACTATTAACTTACTGTGCACAAACATCACATTTCATCGAAATTTGGTTTATAGAAGCTGAGGTAATCCAGACATTAGTTAAGAATAAGATTAGTTAAATGTTGAAAAACGTGCATATTGATTATCTAATTATTATTGGCCAATTTCTGATATCTCAAAAAATCAGATTTAAATTGAACTTGTGGGAGAGGTGCTCTGGGATAAATTATACTGAATACCACAGATGTAAAATCAAATTTATTTTCTGTATGTGTTATAAACTTCAATAATGTTAATCACATTGTTTTCATATTATGCATCTCAAATAGCAGACAAATTAGTTGCCAAGCTTCTTGATTGAAAGGCTAATCTTAAATTTTTAATTAATTTTCAATACATGTCCAATAACTGACAGGACATGCGAGTCCTTTCCAAGCTTTCTTTGATTTTTTCGTGGTGCAAGTCTAAAATACTCACTTGAAAGTGTGGGTTTACAGAGACAAACCCCTAGTTTTGGTTAGAATCTAGTAAATTTCTCTCAGACTTGCGACCTTGTGCAATTTACTTGACCAAATCTGTTTATATCTGTAAACCCACAGCCACAGTATGAGAAGAGTTGAACATTTATAAGGTAGGGATAAGTGCTTACAAACACTAGCTCCTTCCAAACTCGCCAAGCTGATATGGGCAGATATTTGGAGACAGCATACAGAGTCTGCATCATCTAAGAGACTCTCTAGTCTATTCACATTCCTGGGGGCAATGCACATCCTGGTTTTGGAAACAAATTTGTATTCATGAATCCTGGGATAGAAGGTTCTGAACTAAACCTGCAAGTTAATTGGTGACAAATTACATCATAATTGCAGATGTACGGTAAGAATAAGCACTTCCTGCCTAGTATTAATTATTGACAATGATCCTGGTATGAGGTGCTTCAGAAATCTTTAATTTGACTACAGACCTCTTAACAGTAGGTGAGCAAGTCCTCTTGGCCCAACATCAAATTAAAAAGCTAATTTCATGATATTTGATTGTTTTTTTGTTTTTTTTTAAAAGAAAACATGATTACTCTGTGCAGTAGAGATTAAATTAATTAAACAGAATTATTGATTCTATGATGGAGGGCTAGAATGAGTATAAACCATTAAATTTCAATACAATGTAAATCTTGCTCGGTGATAGAATTTCTAACTTTCATCCATTTCGTCGTCGGTATGGAAACCATTTGATGGCGGCGTGAGGTGACTTGCAAACTTCATTGGTTGACATTCCAGTGTGCGTAGATTTACCAATACACATGTGTAGGACTCTGAGAACTTGGGAATTGTCACTAATAATACCTTTTGTCCAGTGATTACTGAAAGACAACATAGACATGATGAACATGATGGCATGTATCAGATATTCCATTCAAACGTACGGTTTTATATCAAAGAGTGTTGCATTTCAGATTTTCAACGAAATGACGGACAGAATCCAATTCATTGTACTAAATTAATGCTACTCATACTATGTTTCAAAGACCAGTGAGGGATGGAATAGAGAACCACAGTGAAAATTTCATTGCTAGCATATTTAATAATTTAATAAGTCAGTATTAATGATCTTACGGTCCACGGTTTTTGTTTTAAACTCCGATTGATTGCCAGCAAAGTAGATATGTGGACATTGTGTAATAATAAAAGGGTCCTTTTCATAAAACGGATAACAACCTGTTGAAAAAACAGATGTAAAGACACTTCAGTTCACACACACATGGATTGAAGAATGGACAATGTTATAAGTACATTGTACCCTATCATATACACAGGGGTTTTCTGATAAAAAGCAAAAACATAGACAGCATATGCACAGTGCATTGTGAAATTCCTTGCCTCCATTTATTACCCCCATCAATACCATAAAATAATTTCAATTTTCTTATTTCAATTAGGGACGACATCAAAAGATCGATGACGAATAAAAAACTTATTTGCTTTAGTTTGGGGTGGGGAGTGAGGGTTGTTGATCTCAAAAAGTTTCCATCCTACAAAAACGATTTTATTTTTTAATGAAGTCATAAAAATCTTGGAGTATTTGTAGTTCATTTTTTTTCTATCCAATCACAGCCAGAAATAACCGAAAAAGAAAAAACAAACATCCAAGATGAGAAAATGGTTTGGTTCGAGTGTAAATATGTGCGTCAAATGAGGTGCATTTGTAAAGTCTTTTTACACTGACCCGACAACTGCTATGCAATACTACTGTCCGATTATCAATTTGTATTTAATGGTGAATGTAGTCTGACGCCATGACCAATATTTATCAATTAAGTTTCAGTGGTGTGGTTTTGGAAAAAAACTAAAGGAATTAAGTTTTTTATCAGACATCGATCTTTTGATAAACTTATCTAAAATACAATTGAGTAGAAATTTTAAAATGATTATAAATTCTTACCAAGTGTATCCGGTGCTGTGGGAGCTATATGACAAGTCAGTAATGTCTTTTCTAAAATCTCTAGCTTATCCTCCATTGCACTGAACTGATATATATCGTGAATATTTTGACCGGATGTGCCGAGAAACCTACAACAATAACAAAATTTAAGTATTAAGAGAAAATGAAATCACTGCGTTAAACAGAGACAATATTTGGTGAAATCTTTCCTGTATGTATGGGCGAGATGAAAGTGGAAATGTACATGGATGGTTTAACGTTTACCTGATGCCTGCAATTTCAACATCATATGGATTAGTGACAGGTTCTAATGTTGGATAGCATCGGCTCTGTGGAAACATACATCGAGGGAATGGCTGTTGTGGCATTGTGTAATTAGCGGGATCATATTCACCAGGCATAATGTCCACTGGCAGGCAACTCTGTAAAAACAAAAGTATCCATATTATTCTAGGTTGAGGGCACTACACTGACAACAGAAAATCAATTCAGGTTGGTTAAAACTTGAAATGATCAGCAAATTATTCATAAACAATATCTTTATTATTCTTATGACAAGGCATCAAGCTTTGGCAACCCATCAGATTGAACATATAATCAGAGATTACTGAAGCACAGCATTGAATGATAATTATCTTTTATAAGAAGATTTCACTGGTAAATATTTTGTTTGTTTTTCAAGAATAATCACTACTTTGAGCACATCTTGTAATATCAACTCTTTGACCACTAAAGCCAATTTTTTCCAATTTATAAAAATAAACAAAATAAATCAATAGAATTTGTTAATTGTTTTTTAAAAACAATTGATGAAACCCATAACCAATAAAAAAGCGAAAGTTGCACCAACACTTTAGCAGAAAAATTAGAAAGCTTAATAGGTGAATGCATAGATAATTGAGCTTACTGCAAGTTCTGTGAGAATATCATCCAATCTCTTGACCCCTTCAACACTGCCTGGCTGACTCTTCTTCGTCAAGTATCTGGCCTAATGAACAAGCATAGTTATTTTATTCCCTCCTGACAACACACAATTATGAAAATTACAATTATATATTTTTGACACATCAAATGAATATGGGTACAGCACTAGAAGATATACTATAGAAGCCATGCTGTTTATCAAAGAATGGACACATATTGGCAGATAGCTTGAACCATTTGAAGTCGTACCAATTGTAAAATCGCATAATTGCTAGATAAATGTTTTTTCAGTAAAAGTTTATTAGTGTTCATCCCAGGCTGTTTTTTACGAGTAAGCTGCAGCATGTGTATCACATGTTTTTGTTTCTTTGTAAAAGGCAATAACCTCCTTCCAATTCTGTTTCCGATGGTCACCGTTTGTCAGGTTATCAGAACAAGTTTGAACACACATCGATGGAACTCAAAAAGAATATGTGAATATGAAATACAGACAATGTACGAGACAGCCGATTTTTTGCTAAAAAGTGTCATGACCCAAGTTTTGAATTAAAGTAAAGAATTTTATGAAAATGAGGACAATGTGATAAAGCAGATTGTAAACTTTAGGCCGAGAAATAAATGTTTTTGGTCATCCTCATGCATCAGAGTTAAGAATATGTGTCTTGAAGTTTTTTTCTCGAATTTTTAGAAAACAAACTGACCAACAAATTCTTCTTTTTGACAATACTGTTATCCTGTTGATAACAATTTTAACTTACTGTAGTGAGTGCGTCCTTGTCCTGCATTTTTCTACTCAGTGAATTACCAGCAATTATAACACGTACAATATTAGAATTCAATTCTTGGTCGTCCACACCACCAAGCTGTCCAGTTATCGTGTCCACAAACATCTGCAGTCCCATAAGATGATGGCCTTCTTGTCCGATACCTAGGCCAGATACCAAGGCAACAAACCTGAAGTACAAAAGTAACACTTTATCAACAATAGAGGACGCTAGGTAACATTTAATTAACAGAGTAATATTTTATTAACACAAGAGGGCGCTATACATAAATATGCATGCCATTACATTACAATTACAGTCCAAATAGCAGTATGTAAGCTACACAAATAATTTTGATTCAGTGGAGGAAATATTACTAGAATTAAAGACAAAAGTAGAAAACCATCTTACTTGTCATCCTTCGACAATGATGGTTTTACTTGTTCTGGCAATTCTGCGTAACAAAAATCATCCACTTGAAAGAGTCCGCCATCTTTTTCACATCCATAAACAGCAACAATTATCCCTACAAAATTTTAAACGTAAATTTATTTACAAATTTCAACCCACATTTCAAAATCCTCTAATCAAAGAAAGCTTAGAAGGAACTCCTGTGTGCTGAGGGAATAGGGATCATGATGTAATATTCAGGAATATTTGAAAATGATAAACAAATTATGAATAATCTATTAAACCAGGAGCCACCAGTAGTCATCTACACACATAGACATCGTATACCTACAATAAGCCTACTTAAAAATATGCATAAAAAGTCTACACAAAATTGAAACATTAAAAAGAAAACTGAAATAATTCATAAAACATTGGGGAAAATGAAATGCAACGAAAATAGTAAACAAATAAATGCCCAAAATAAACTTATAGGGCATTTAAAAATATTTTAGAAATTTAGTTAACACGGAAAACGTAAAGTAGCAAGAACAACTATGTAAATTTCTGACAAACAACCACTATCTTAATATCAATATGTGTGTCAATAAATATTATATTTATTTATTTTCAGTTACGTATATTAATAAGGGAGGCATCACAATCTTTTGGATTGGTTCGTATATCCCGAAAATCGACATGGTAAAATTACAACCATCGTACAGCTCAGTACCATAACAAATATTAACAATTTACGGCAGACGTACTTTTCGGTACATAAAATTCAAAGTAATCCCCAACGCGTCTCATTTGTTACTGCATATAAATTGACACTATCTGGGGCACGTCGCACGCGATGAGTACCAACCAAAAATACACACATGACATTTTAAGTTGCTCGAAACAAAACCTATTCGTTAATTTTCGTTTCGAAAACATCTACGTTGGCTTAAAACTCTGCAGCCCGTCCCGCACGTTTTTTTTTTTTTACCAGGCAGGAGACGCCGGTCAGCGTGGCATTGCCACAGTGGTTTCCACTGTGCATCCAGTAGTTAATTCCGAAATCACGGTCTATACATTCCACATGAAGCATGGTATTCAGCTTAATCATATTTTCTTTTTTGCTCCATGGCTTAACTTAATAGGAACAGTAACTCAAGCAATAAATGTGCCTTCCGATTTGAGGGATCAACAATAACGACAATGCCAGACAAAATTTTTCCCTTAATATACCTTTTCCTTCCATCTTTGATGGTACGGGCAAGGTAAAAATCGTTTTAATGCTTCTTGAGATATAACTGAAATAGCTTAAAATTCACACATTATTATGCAGATGAGCTCATTAATATGCATGGATGTCAACCAAAAACTAATCAAATCTGCGCATTGCCCCAGACAAGCTATATACCAAGTTTCATTGAAATCCGAACATTGGTTCTTGAGATATCGATGGAACAGACAGACAGACAGACAGACAGACAGACAGACAGACAGACAGACAGACAGACAGACACACTAACTGCAAAGACTCCCTTTTTGTGCTTCGCACACGGGAGTCAATAAAATAGTACCTGCAGATAACACATACCAGTATAAAGGATCCACACACAAGTAACAGCTTTTCTGATTGGCTGGTATAAGACCTTATAAACCAATCAGCTTCTGCAAATCAAACGCGTCATGTAGCCTACCTGTAACTGCAGTGTGTACATCTAACTTTCCAACCAAGGTTATTCTTTGTAATTCATCTTCTAATATAAGGACATCTGATTCATCTGTATACTTTGATTTTACGGGTTGCGGCATCAAATTTATCTAAAAACAAACGATAGAATAGATTATGTACAAATGTATGTATGCAAGAAGTCACCATTAGGTGGAGGGTAATAGTGTACATGTAGCCATGGTTTGTACACCTGGAATGAATACAATTACGGAACTTTTTCAAAACACGTTTCCAGGACACAACTTTGGTATCTTAGCGACAGCAATGGATTTTTGTGTTGATTGCCATGTTGTCACCAGGAATTAAATATGGGATAGAATCATTCCATCAGTTTAGAAAGTATGAGACAATTACACATCCATGTGGAAATACAGTCAGAAATAAAGTATTTTGTTCCCCTTATAGTGAAGACAATGTACTCAAATGTTTATTATGTTTGAATTTTGTTCAACACTTGTATTTTTTAAATTTTTGTGGGACAATTGTTTGCAAATGTTTCATGTCTCGTCAACACTGTGACTGAATTACATTTTAAGGATGATTCCAACAGACGCATTTGCAGCAGTAATGGCCTTTCATCCTGATTTTTATTATCAAAGATGCAAAGGCATTTTCCCCATGACATCTTCCAAATTCCAAGACTTAGCCAAAACTGTTCCAACCTTGGGTAGGTAGCCTGTCACAAATGATCAGGGCATAGAATTATACCATAAACCATAGTATATCGTTTATGTGGCACAACACACAAGTGTGTTATCAGATACCTTACCTCTTCACTGATTTCCTTCAGTATACTTGGCTTTAAATTCATGTGTTTAAATAAAGTTCCAATAACACAACACTTCTCTCCCAGTTTCAAATCACAGAGCTTCTTCAACCGAATAGCATCACCTAAAAATACAATTGTTACCTATCATTTTGTTTGATATTGATCAAATGTAATTGTTCGCACAACAGCACACTCCGTGAAAAACAATGGCTGTTGGCACAAAATCTTCGTTGTTTAATCCAGAGATGAAGGTCGCAATGAATAAACCATTCTAGCACCTTGAGACAGATTGCGTAATTTGGCAATTACATATATTGTGTATTTATTCAGATGTAAATTCACTCAAAATATTTCTCAGCTCAAGAACTTTTCAATGAGAAGTCAGAAATATACAAAGAAGTATTAAAATGATTGTAAATATCCTTACTCACAATGACAGTGCTGTCAGTGAAGTGTTATTCCAAACTTTCTCAACTTGTACAGCAAAATTCACAAAACTTGTCTTTTGTAAAAAGTGTGTTTTAATATACTAAAAGTAAATTCAACATACCCCATTTCTTTTTAGCTGCTCTCGTCAACATCGGTCTCATTGACAGTAACCTTTCAGCATACAAGTGAGCATACTGACGACTGAAACTTCGATTTTTTACTCGAAAGCGATCAGACAAGTTTTTATATGAGCAAGACTGTCTCTGAAATTCAGCCTGGTCCTCTGTGGGTTCCCCCAGTAAGGACATCTTTTTAACTGGCATTTGGTTACATCAATGTGTGGCTGAAATATGAGAAGACAAACACACATTAAATTACTATAATATAGTATAATAATCATAAAATGATAATCAAAGCAAGCTAGAAAAAAATGTGTGTGCGCTGAGCATATTGGATGCATATTGAAAATTTTAGATTAGGTTTTCAAATAAGAAGCTCAGCAACAAAATTTGAAAATGCACAAATATGTATACACATATGGAGTAGGTTCCACACTGCATATCATGAGCACCATACATAGATGACCTCCAATGATCATGACTTGCAATCACCAATTTTTGATGTGTAAATCATCAGCTGGCATTTAATACCGTACTCGATCGCGTTAGTGCCCATGCTTGGCTAAGCGCACATCCTCATTTTTTGGACATTTCTATTTTCAGGTTCACATTCAGCTAAGCGCCTATCCCCTTCAAAATGCTCCTAATTTGACTGTCTAATCATACTGGTAATCGTTTTTATCAATATTGACCACTGTGAATATGTTGTGAATGCGTAGACCGGGTGCGTAAACTATGCTGTTACCTGTTGATGAAAGTGAAATGCAGTAAATACTTCATGCCATATTCAGTTTACCTATCAAAATTGCTAGTACCGGTAACCAATTTTTGAAAAAAATCAAGGAGTTTATTGGCCGAAATCAATTGCAACAGATCGTACTGTAACATCAATGAATCACTTCACCATTACATTACAAGAAAGTCTTCATGAATTCCCGAAGAATTGTGTCAGAACAACACAACATTCTGATTGGTTAATAAGACCCATTAGGTCAAATGACTTTGTTGCAGATCAAATTGTGCAAGAAAACAACATGGCGGAAATTGCTTTTCATCAAGAGTTTACATATGATCCAACAAATTTGACAATGAAGATATTGATGAAGATTTTGACTTCGACTGTGTTCCAACAGACTCTAATTTTTTTTTGACCTTATAAATTCGGGTGGTACGTAATTGAAAATTAATATTGTAATAAAATGTGCATATTGTTTGTGACCATTTCTGTTTAAAAGTCAACGACGTGGCAACTAATTTCATTTTCCGCCAAAGTTGTAATATCCCCTTAATTTGTCACATGGTGAACTAAAATTGTTATTTGCTCAGTTTTCAGTAGAGACCCACCCCTAAAAAATTCTAAGTTGAGGACACTGAGCGCTAATGTGGTTGATTATGGTAGTATTAAACGGCCTCAAATTTGGTTTAACCCCATTCATTTATTGATTCTCTGGACGGTTTGGAAAGCAAGGTTAGGATTACGGTTATGGGTGTGAGGCCCTATAAACTCTTACCCTGAACGGGGTGGTAAGGGTTAGAGTAAAGGGTTGGGCCAATGGGATAAATTGAAAGTTTTTCTGACGTTTTAATGTCTTAGCATCAAACCTCTTTAGTTCAATATCATACGATTCCGATAATAAATATTGAGCAAATTAGTAGTTGAGAAAAAAAGTTGCAATATTGATTGATAAGTTATTAAGATTAGAAATTCTTAACTTAAATGAAGAGGTAAATTATTGACCCGCATCAAATCGGATTAACTCGGACTCATTGCCAAATGGTGGTATGGTGAGTATATTCTGCAAGGAAATTAAAACTGATTAAATTGGTGATCGATGCTAGGATTCTGCGTACAATATTGTTACTGTGTGGGTGTCGACAAGTTTCAATGAAAACGAGCACACGAGTCCTGCATTCACTATTCGCCAACAGACACACCAACTAATTTGTAGACAAAAAGAAAGTCCTATTTCACTCGGGCGCTTCGTAATGACATTATGATACTTTTTTCCAGAAGTATCATTATCTTATAATGATATATCAACTTACTTTTCATCCATCCAAGTTCAGCTTGAAGCACAACAATTTCCCGCCATCTTGTTAAGATTTACATATGTGACAACCTTTGACCTTTAGCCAAGCTAATACTTTTCGTTTGTTCGAGTAAAATTAAACACTAGCATTGAAAAAAAATGTAATATATACATTTTTACAATAAGATACATATTTTTATGCATGAATGATAGTTTCAAAAGCGACACAGGACAGCCTTTTGGGAACTTTTTAATTTGATTCCCGAAATCTCGCATTCTAACGCGGGATCGGGGATTCCCTCTTGCGTCATTGAAAATAAAGTTCATTGTTTACATCGTATGCGCCTTTTTTCTAGGGCTTCTTTTTTGGGCAAATTTCGGAATTTTTGTTATTTCATGTAGAAAATACTTGTTTTTGGATACTTCTAACTGCTGGAGAGTTTCTGGTGACCTGAATAATGATTCGGGAACGGTTTTTCGCCTTTTTATGGTAAGATTTTCTCTGTCTGTTTCATTGTTATTGTTCTGTCGATTTCACAACACAGCTGGCATCCTGTCACGCACTGAGACCGTGCTTGCTACAACACTCGAATAAGAAATGATGAAACCCAAACCCTCAGATCAGTTACATGGTCGCAAAAAAACCTACTAAATTATAGCGGCAATAAAAAGCACTTCTCCATTTTACGTATTTTCCATCGAACGCATAAAATTAACTGTATTTTTAGAATGTAAGTCATGCACCTTTTTCCGTTTTGTAAGTATAACCACAGTCCCTCTATCACCTGGTATAACGGTTCGTCACTGTTGTGTCTAATAACAATATGAGAAATGATGAAGTTTTGAAAAATCAACATTTTAATATCGCCTACCTGTTTTTTTTAGACCAACCTAAAGATCAATAGCTACAACAACACCTCGGAACCACAGCACAATGTTTGGCCTTCAGAGTCGTCTCGTCCAAGCTCAGCAAGCGAGCAGCCCAACGCGCTATCTTGAAGAAGAACATGTGAAAGCTGGTCGTGAAGCCGAGCAAATAGTGTTTGAATTGTTAAAAACCGAAGGTGGTATTCACCCGGATGATATGTTCTGCAGAATACGCATTCCATCTGAATTTCATACACGCCGGTATGAAATCGATATAGTGATTTTAACAGGTAAAGCTTCTACAAAACTATTAACTGTTTACAACATTACACTGGTGTATTTGCACATCATGTAATAACACTGTTTGGCTTCAGGGCGTATCATGATTTTACGTGCATTTGTAATGTTTATATTATATTATATTTTATGAATTATCGTTTTATTGTGTTATAATATGTATAAGTTCAGTTATTCAGTTTATTATATTTATTTCTTTCAAAAGCCACAATGTAGATCAAATAAAAAAAGCAAAAAAAACCCCATCAACTCGTGTCTGTTCAAATCAGCTAAAGCTGTTCAAATATCGAGGAATGATTAATAGTGCTGTGGCTAATATTCTAAAATATTAAATATTGAGGTACTGTTCATGTTCTGGTCACTCTCTAATGTGATAAACTATATATGTATTACACATATGGTGGGTTTACTTTTAATAATGGCATTATTCTATCTTACATTGATGAGATTGACCTACAATGCACTATACAAAATCTGTATTTAAGAGTCGACCTTGACCGCCTGAATTGTTTTCACTTCATTCTATGTATATATTGTTTTCTCAGCATATGGACTGTTTGCTGTGGAAATCAAAAACTGGTCAGGCGAAGTCAACACAACCAAAGATAAAGAGTCTTGGGTGCAGCGAAAACGGAAGCATGGTGACAATGGGGCATCTGTGGAGTACGAATTACAGCATAATAATGCTGCCGCCAGTATCCAATCCAAGACACAGCTTCTCCGAAACCACCTTATAAGAAATGGCTGCTGTCTCAAAGAGAAGTTTTTCCATCACAGAGTCTTGTTTGTTAACAAAAACGTCAAGCTACATGAAGATATTGCATCTATACCAGAAGTGATATTGCCAGAAACAATGTCTTATTTCGTGAAGTCATTCCAGTGGAGTTTGCTGGGTAAAATAACAAGCGCCTTGACACCATCTTTACTTTCAGGTATTTATTTAAACTCGTATAACTCTTCTCCATCATTAATCACATGCTCTTGTTCTCATTGGTTAGTTTAAGTCGCATGAACTTAGAGATTGTAAATTCCCCTCTAGATATAAATAACTTCGTCTTGTCTCATTAGAGCACAGACATTTTTGAAAACATTGAACAATACCCATTGTGCATGTCACTTAAATTTATTATTCGTATCATGCACTGTTGAGCCACACAGGAATGTTGATAATAAAAACTAGTCGGTCCTCTGGTACTAACAAGGTTTGTACTAAAATGTTTCAGGAAATGCCAATACTTTTTCAGCCAAAATGTTACTTTTTGAAAATTTCTTCGTATTTTTCTATCATTTTGACCAAACGAACTTAATTCCCATTGACTATAAGTGTTTATAATCAAAACTTTTGAAAATATATAAACAAAACATTATATGTTTATTTTGTGAAACATGGCATAAGCTGGCATTGCCACCCAATAGTTTAAGGGTTCACAGTGCAAATACATGTAGTATTTATTAAAAGGATTTGCACATTAATGCATGGATCTGCGTATATGGTTCATAAAAACCTTGCACAGCATACAATGAGCTTATAGGGTTTCTAACGGTGATAGAATAACAAGTCAACTCTCATGCATATAGGTCAGTTGTCGTACAGCGTAATGGACTCAGCTCGGAGTATCCTGAGTAAAACTGGTACGTGGGATGTTATAGAACTACATGGTGGCAAACAGTTACAAGGTATGTATGGTGTATGTTTTTTGAATTTTTAAGAACTATTAAAAATACATACTAGATGGATATGAAGATTTAGAGCATAAGAATGAGTTAAAATTAATAATTTTTCAAAATAATAGATATGCCTGCACTGTCGTTTACAGCTGTGCCAGTGTTTTACAAATAATTATAAATATTAACAACTGTTTGATCATTTGCATACTATTCCATACAACTATTTTAGTTTCTCTGCTGCTGCAAATTACTGAATTAAAAAAAAAAGATTACTGAAATATTACTTTATTAAATTCTAGGTGATTTCCGAGGATGCGAGCATTTCACCCCAAACAGAGCGGAAACAGAGATACTCCAGTTCAGTCATCAGCGCAGCCCCAAACTAAGCAGCACCTGGGCTGTGCTGGGTTACACACCACAAGTTGAAGTTACGATGTTTACTCGTGACGGATTGGGATGGTTCTGGAATTCCACAGTGGGATCTGTTAATATCCCATACAACTCGGATGTTGTATTTCGCGTTGCTGATGAAAACACAGACTCAAAAATACCTGCACACAAAATTGATAAAATCATACTCAGTGTTTGAATGCAAGAGATTGCATAGTCATGAATTTTTCATTTTTTGTGATTTTTTTTTCTGACTGTTACGCAGTTATTATTACGACTTTACTGCTTAGTTAATCGTTCAAATTTATGTGTTGTCAATGATCTCCCGTTCTATAAGAATGTATATATGAATAATTGTAATTTAATTGTACTGGTAAGTTTTTTATATTTAAGTGTGTTTTTTAACAGAAAAGCAGAAATGTGTGAAAAGTCTCAATTTAAGTTATCAAGACAAAAAGTTGACAACTGCCAGTGTATACGTGTGAGTGTTTTGTGCATATCTGTTGGCCTGGCCAAATCATGTTTTTGTACATGATGTAATAATAACAAACTCCCATGGCGAATAATTAATATCCTGTAACCCATCTGTACAGGGACATTGTATTGCGTGGGAGATGTCCTCGGTAATGGAATGATTTGAATGTGTCAGTGGCAAGGTATGGTTGGATCAAAGTTGTGTGTAATTTAACTTTTTAAATTCATCTATATTTATATAAATTACCATTATGTGTGTCAGTTTTATCACTCGCATTGGTGAAAACAATACATTTTCTGAATCTGTAAATAATACAAGTTTGATATCAGATTTTTAAATCAGAGCATGATGCTTTTTCCTCTATTTAACGATCCTTTCTGTTAGTGAAAAGTGTTTTTGCATCAGAATTTACCTGAAGCAAGAGTAAAACTTTAATTAAAATTCCAATTCTACTTGAGGTGATAGGAATGACAGTACAGTACTGAACTGAATATGTTACAGTTTATGTAATATACACTTATTGCATGTGATGCATAAATCCTTTATAAAGAGATATATTTGAAAAAGATCAACACCACATTTTCAAAACACTGTGAAGTGTTAACTTTCTTTTTTTGGCAAAGGTATTATCGTATGTTTCATATATTTAGTTTTCTTCTCATAACAATTTTTTATTTATTTATGGCCTAGTCTAACAGTTTTGTGTATCTATTATTATATGCTGATTTATAAATCATACTAATCATAATGCACTTTGCATCAGATATCTTGAAATTAAAATTATAGCCCATACAGGAGTTTTGGGTTAATGCAGTTAACCATTTCACAGCATTAGCTGTGATAATAAAAGCTATAAAAAATAAACTTTATTAACCATTCAAGGTCTTGAATAGTGCATGCATTACCGGTATCAAGGTACCTATTTTCTTTATTAAATATCTTAATTATTGACCCTATCAAAGTAAGTTCAATAATTGATTCTGCTCAGTATTACCGGTACTATTACAACAAAGGATTGGCATCTACTGGTATATCATTAAAAGCAAAAACAAGTCTAAAACAGGCAATAAAATATGGACATTATTGTTAATTGCCTTTCTGATTGACTCACTATGATAATTCTGTTGGTGAATTTTATCATTTGTTTACATTGTGTGGTCATTTACAGTCTTTGTTGCAGGTGTGTGTGTCTTTCTAGAGCTATCCCAAACACGGTTCTCTTTTAACAGTTTTGTATTGTTTAAATTTCATAATAAATAGAATGATTACTCATTGCAAATAGTAACAGGCTTAGTTCTATCTATGTGTGAAGAATTGTATGAAAGTTCTGATATTATTATGTATGTGAACCTTTTAGGCCAGACTTCTATTATCCCTTGTTTCGCTAACCCGCCGAATGAACCGTAGCCGAAAATGAAATAAAAATAAAATTTCATTTCAGCGTAATTTCTCTTCATTTTTTTTTCGCCTGTCGCCCAATAAATCCAAGTTGCATTTTCATGGGAGTATCATGATCAAAGTACCGAAGTCTCGCTTAGATCTATACTTTATGCCCGTTGGCTGACAGTGAATCTCGAGTATTAGCCTCTCTGCGTGCTGCTTGAGACTACTAGGCAAACATGGCGGGGGCGTGGTTTGTGGTGACACGCTGTGAAACTCTGTCATCAAAAACCAAGAAATTCCTTATTAATGCTGAAAATTGTGCCACAATTGGCGACATTGCCAACCAGGTTATACATAGAATAAAATTTTATTTCATTTCTTCTTTCCGATCAATGATCTCACTTACAATTCTTTGAGAATCACACAAATGTAATGGAAAAAAAGAATTAATTTAATTTTTGTTTCGCCCTCCTCAAACAAATTGACTTATAAAAACCCGAGAAACGAGGAATAAAAAAAGTCTGGCCTTGGTTTGTAAAACAATATTAATAATCATTCATTACAATTCTTGTTTATACATGTAACAATTTATTTACAAAAAAGTCAAACTGCAGAAGGGCACAGTAAGTGTACATATTCCTTGGGGCTACCGGACACACCTGAAACTAACGGATGTCCATATCTATCAGTGTTTTTTAAACACAAATCTATTTTCACACAATTTTAAAGATATAAACATAAAAATTGTATACAACCATGCAGCTTGACTAACTTTTAAACATTTACAAATACATGTATTACTATTATCAACATCATATATCACTTATGATAATTTAAAAAGTATATAATAACAACAAAGGCTCTTTATACATTACACTGATGTGTTGTTGTATTTTTTTTGGGGGGGGGGGGTCGGATACTAGCGATTAAAGTCCAATGACTTCAATAATCTAATCTTGTGTATTAGTACACAGGACTTTTAGTTTAAATATTGCTATAACTTCAGTCTGCCTTCTTACACTTCACAAATCGAAGGAAATTTCAGTACATTAATGAAATCCTGAATTTGCTCTATTAGAAGCACATTATCATTTACCGTCCACTTTAACAACCAAAAAAGCTTCAAATAGAGCATATATGACTCAACATAATTAATTTTACCACTGACAATAAAAAATCAAAGAAAATTGAAATTCTTAGGCATCCATGGTGTGCAATAATACACCATGGAGGTATGTTTTTACCTACATGGTTACACCATTATAGCTAGCCATCTGAAGTGGGGAATAATATAATCTATATTCATATGTCTATATGAAATATTTCACTGAAATCTTTAGACTGTTGAGAGTCCTCAGGCCTAATTTGTTAGTATACTAAATCAGTCGCGGAAATGCACACAGCATAAATCTGTTTACAATACTACCGGTAGGCTTAGAGTACAATACAGCACCATATGCCAGTCTTAAATACAGAGCAAAGAAAAGTAAAACAATGCAATAAACACACAAAACAAACGTAAACAATTCTGACTACCAGTATTTAAATCAATAGAACAAGAGATCCAATGGACAGTAAGAAAACCTGAATAAATACATTCAAATAATGTACTCCACATATATGTAGAACCGGTAAACATTTGGAAGTAATGTTAACTGTGTAAAACTGCAGCTGTCATAATTTCATAATTCTTCATGACAATTCTTAAAGCATTATTGGGGTCTTGGGAATATTATTTGAAATATTTGATGGTCTGAATGAATGTGCATTCAATTTTTGATAATTTTCAGCATGTTTGAATGTTGATGATTGTTTTATCTTGCCATTTGATTGTTTGCGCAAATTTCTGGTGGCAATGCTCTATATCAATAGAGTTGAGTTGTGTATGTGGAAAATTTTCAACATTGTTGGCTATGGGGAGTTAAATTGTACTACGAGACGTGTATCTAACATTAGTTAAAAAATACCCAATTAATTGTATAGATCCAGGCAATAATAGCCAGTAAATGTAGGATTAAAGCAAGAAATAAAACCAAGTGAAGACCTTGTCCATGACTGATGTTACACTGACACAGGTTTTTGTTTACGAAAGGCTTCGCTGGCTTTGTTGGGTATGCCCATAGCCAGCCCTGTTGTCGCTATATTCTGTATTGCCTGTAAAAAGAAAATATGTGTGAGTAGACAACACACAGCCTGAAAGCTAACTATTAGAAAACCAGTTTCAATTCAAAATGACCACCAGAGTTGAACATTATGTTATTAAAAGATTTGCACTTTTTTTTATTATTTGTTCTTTTCCATTTGATGGAATCTTTTTGACAGCTGAAGAATTTGTAACTTTTGTACATGTTTACTAGTTAGTTATGTCTGTTGACAGCAGATTCAGTGTAAACGTGAGGAGTGGTACCCCACAATCCCATATTTCATTGCATTGGCTGAGACCATTTCAGAAAGGAGAGGGAATTCTGAGGTAATAATAAAGGCTCTCAAGGAGCAAAAAAAAACGACCAAGATATTGATAAATGAAGCAAGACTGAGGTAGTCATTAACTTCAACTGCAAAATGAAGGCGTAAATACAGTTATTTTGTAGCTGTTTTGGTGCTATGACATTCATGAGAATTTGGATCATGAAATTATAACTAAATGAAAGTATAATTCTTCAATTACCTGTGCAGCTACCTTCTTTAGCTCTTCTTCATCTACCATAGCAATCATATAAGCTTCTTGTATTCCCCACTCCTAGAAATAACAATGAAAACTTCTCAATTTAATTTCATTTCTGATAACTGACTCACCTCAAGTATTCATACTACCGATACAGAAAACAATGTTACAAAAAATCCTAGGATTACTGTCTTTCAATTCTGATCAGAATTTTAAACTAGATATTTGTTCCAGGAAAAGTTGCAGGTCCCTAAAATTTCTGCACTGATGCGTAATTTAGTAAAACTGAAAATTTGTTAATGAATCATTGAACAATTGAATGTGTTATGCTCACATATGACTAATGAACAACTTTAGAGAACGGCGATAGGAATATCGCAGACATTACAACAACACTAACGTATTCACAACTCAGTCAAATTAACTTACAATAGCAAGATTTTCTGCCAATAAAAATAATTCAGTCAAAGCTCTCTGTACTGGTGGTAATATTTTAGCTGCGCTATCTTTTGGTGTCTCCTTTGCCATCTTGTTTAGTAACAGCCACAGTGGTCTCAATAATGTTAAATCTGGTGTTAGCGACTTATCGATGGGCATGGCTGCAGTCATCTGCTGTGTAGACCTGTCAACAATCACAAAAAGAGAGAGGTTCATATATCTTCTAAATAGTGTAAACTTGAAAAAGGTTAAGAAAATAGTTTGAATCACCTCCATTATCAACTTATTGTTTTGCTACCTAAACTTGTCTCGATAGTAATTCTCCTCACATGATTTTTTTTTTATAAAACTTAAATCTCAAAGTAAATATATTTATGATATGGTAATTGAACAAATGATAACAAATCACTGACATTACACAGTCTTCGTCATGCAATTAAGTTAGACACTTCAAATCTGAATTTGACTGGATTTGATTTTGAAATGCTAAAGGTTTGATTTTGATGATTTTTGGCTATCTTGAATTGAATCATGAAACAAATGCATATGCATATGTGTGTCAGGATGTATATGTTAAGTTTGACATGTCAAAGATATGGCTCTAGAACAGCCATTAAAACAAAATGGCTGCCTGTTGGCCATTTTAAATTCGAACTGAAAAAAATGACGTGCATCAAGTTTCTATAATGTCCAATGTATGTATGAGTTTGAACAAGATCTGTCCATGCATGACAAAGATCCAGTTCCAAAATGGCAGAGATGCATGATTTTGAATTTCCCGCTAATTTTGAATCAAATCATGAGATGCAAGTGCATATGTATCCCATGAGATATGATGCATATGTGAAAATTTTTGAACATGATCGGTCTAATATGGCTCCAGAACAGCATTCATTAAAACAAAAATGCCACAAGTCGGCCATTTTGAATCAAAGTCACATATTGTCCAATGTATGTACCAAGTTTGAACAATATCTGTCCATGCACGACTGAAATCTAGTTCCAGAATGACTAAATATCAAGTGACCTCACATATGAATTGGAAACCAATATTTACTTAGTTTTACAGTTTTCTTCATTCTTACTAGTATAGTAAACTATATTTTTTGAGCTATCTTAGTTTAAACTTTTTTCATATTTTTTTTCAAAAACAGGATATTTTAGAAAAACACATAGAAAAGTGCAAAATGATGCACCCAAATTTTGCCGAGTAAAAAATTGATGGCATTTAATTGTGTAAACAGAAATTGATATGCAATACTAGTAAATAAATCTTACTTTGATAGTAGTTGTAATATTCTGAGCATTAACTGTATTACTTTCAATCTCTGCTGTCCAGTTTGTCTGCATGACACATACACTAACCAACACCATAACTCATCCTGGGGAAGCTTTCTGCTGAAATATAAATACTTAAAATAAATCACATTGAAATTACCTGATGTACTGGTATAATACAGTAAATCCCAAATCTTGTCATAGCTCCGCATATCAAAATGCATTGAATACATTTTTTTCACTCTTGCAAAATCCTTAACGCATATTACAAATCAAACATTTTTCAGCCAGGACTTCAGACATCAATGATGCAAAATGCTAACTTTATCGTAATCATATTGTTAGCATAGAAAACTGCTGCATAGGTATAAAAGACTGAAACACAATTGCTATTGTATTGATTAAACTTAAGCTTAAGATGTACAGAAATTCCATCAACAGTTAGTCCAAACAAAAGTAATTCTCATATTCACATACATGTGCATCTTTAAACCCTATGCTATAAATGGTATGCCCCAGTCTAGATCATCTGTACAGCGCAAAACAGGAAAGTGTTTTGCACCATGTTATCAGACAAGTTACAGGAATACGTATTTGTTTTCAGCGTTAACAAATAATTAGCCATGATGCAGTTTATAGTGAAATATCAAAAAGAGACATGCTATGTTTGGTATACCCATGGTTCTGCTTCACTTTAGATCAAGATAAGGCATCGTCTGTCAGTATACACAGTAGCATCAGTGTACAGGCCGTACACTAACGCAGCTGAGCAAACCCTATTCCCAAAACAGTAAAAGTGAAGAGAGTATATATTTCTGTACACAGCTGCTGATGACTTGGGTTTTTACAGATGGCATACCAGACTTGCTGATGTCAACAAGTAGTCACATCCATTCTGGACCAATCCATACCATTGCAGTCACAAACAGCATAATGAAACACAACCCCCCAATAGGTCTATAAAACTATAATACTATTTTGTATGTTTCTATTTCAGTCCCTTAAAAATTGTATAATATATTTTAGGAAATAATTGGGAATAACAGAAAGAAAGCCCATGTATCAGTGCCATATATCTCTTCAAAATACAACTGAAACATAGCCTTCTTTCCATTACTAAATCAGTAACAAAGGTATCAATGTAACAAAGGCTTAGGTACAACCCTGAACACTGCTTCTAATAACATAACCCTGTTTCACCAGCAAACAGGTATATTATCCCTGCATCCATGAAATTAAAAACAAGATAGTGTACTTACTGTGGTTGTAAACTTTCTGTTAATATTGTATTTAACATCACATACCCAGTCTCAAATCTGAAAAAAAAAAGAAACAGACATCACAAACAACTATACATGTACCTACACGTGCATACTAGCAAATATGAATGGAATGTACCAGCTAAATCACATATTAACAGAAACTCTTGGCTTCAGAACAGGGTAGGCTTCTGCTAACCCTTTACCAATCATCACTGGCAAACTACTTTTCTGAGAACGTACTTATGATTTGATTTAAAAACACCTTAAGGTAGCGAGAAGGGAAATTTTCACTTTTTTCTTGATTTTTCAAAAATTGATTAAACGTTCACTTTAGACCTTGATACATCATACCAGGTTTACAAAAGATCGAAATTGCGAAATAACGTCGCTCAAATCAGTGTTTTAAAACGCTAGTAGAAAAGACTACAAATGCCGTTTCGTGGATATTTGCACATTGTTTATCTTTGAAAGGGTTTAAATGATAACATCTTATCTGTATACTCTGTTGTTGACGATTCTGATATAACGGGTGATAAGCTTCCCGTCGCAAACAATGCGTGTTTATCTAACGTCCATTGTCAGCATTATTGTCAGTCGAGACTTCGTCGGAGAAACATGGTCATACAGTACCCATTTCGCCCAACCTTCCGCTTTTAAATGCGTGCGAGCGAGCGGTGATATTTCGGGGTTTGCGCGGTCGAAAATAAAGCGGAAATTGTCCGGTCAAATTCAACAAGCGGTCAAAAAAGCGAGAAAAAAGGTGATTGGAAAGCGGGAGCGGGCGGGAGGTAGTGCGAAATGAGTACTGTGAATTTGCGCAACTTTCTTTTAAATCGTTTTATTTTCCAAGTCATATTCTATTTTACTAATACCATGTTTCTAACGCATGGCCAAAGAAAAGAAAGAAAGCGTTGACAGATGAGCAAAGAAAATCTGCACTCAGTGTCCACACTCTGACACAGCATTTTT